GACACAGGCAAAGGCCCTTAAATGCCAGCTGAATTTGTCATGGCGTTCATCCGGTGTCCAATTAACTGGATCCATAGACATTGCCCGGGATTAGGACTGCTGCATCTGAAGAGGCATTGGCAATTCAGCGACGACGACTTGGACAGTGAAAGCCAGCTGGACTGCATCTGCGAACGGACCTTCGATGAATTATGAGTCCTTCCTGCAAGTCTACAAGAGCAAAGTCCCTCGTCAACTATTCGCATGGGCCACTATTTTGCCAGATGTGGGGTGCGGGGAGTGTCGAACTGGACATTTCTTTTTCAACACTGGATATCAACAACAGTGCGGTGGACCAAGCCAGAAGATAAGGACAGCTTCACTCCTAAGGGGGAGACAGTGTGGCATCGGATTAGGGAGCAGACATATTGGACCACCTGGCTTCAGCCAATCCCGTGTCTCTCTGCGATCCAATGGCATGCGGGAAAGGAAGGCAGCCAACCAGAGAAGGACACGACTGAGGAGCAGTACATAAGGAGCGGCGTGGCCAGCCTGGCGGACTCGGATGAAAGGCGCCTGACGTGTGGCTCAGGGCTTGTGATTTGTCAATAAAGCCTTTCTGTTGTACCGGTCTATTTCCTATTAGGGCTCGGGTATTCCACATTGGTGGCAGCGGATGCGTTCGAATTACGCGAATCGGACCCCAGTCCTTTCTCTTCAATGGTCAACACAGACAAAGACCCTTAAATGCCAACTGAATTTGTCATGGCGGTCATCCGATGTCCAATAAAGTGGATCCATAGACATTGCACAGAATTGGGACTACGACATCTGAAGAAGCATTGGCCAGTCAGCGGCAACGACTTGGACAGTGAAATCCAGCTAGACTGCGACTACGAACGGACCTACAATGGATGATAAGTCTTTCCTGCAAGTCTACAAGGACAAGGTGCCTCCTCGACTATTCGCTTGGGCCACTATCCTGCCAGATGTGGGGTGCGGGGAGTATCAAACTGGATATTTTAACAATTATGAACAGTGCGGTGAACCAAGCCAGAGGCTGAGGACAACTTCACTCCTGAGGGGGAAGCAATGTGGCGACGGATCAGTGCGCAGATATATTGGATTACCTGGCCTGAGCCAATCCCGTGTCTCTCTGCGATCCAATGGCATGCGGGAAAGGAAGGCAGCCAACCAGAGAAGGACACGTACGAGGAGCAGTATATAATGAGCGGCGTGGCCAGCGGGGTGGAATCGGATGGAAGGCGCCTGAATATGGTGCTTTGAATTGCTAGTGATAGATAACACCAGCTGATTCGATTCAATGAGGTGCCAGAGAAATAAACAAAGATAATGAAGAAAATTTATGGGATGGTGGCTAGTGGATAGTTCTGGTCTGTGGCATGTCATTAGAAAATTGCATTCATCACATGACTTCGTTCTCTCGCTTCGAAATGGCAGAAAATAGTTTTAACTTATATTAATTGCGGTCAATGGCGAAATTTATTGCTTGTTTTGCTATTAATTCGATGGGTCTCAGAATGTAGCCGGACTCTTCATCGACTTGTAAACTTTGTATACATGCCCTGATTTTATTAATCAACGTTAGATTGCTAAAGTAAAACAAAGAAAACCTATGTATCCAGTGGTGTTTCATCCAGGGCGTTGAAATATTGTTGATAAGATTTCAAATAGCGGACAGTGCATATGTAATTGTAGAGTTATTAACTTTAAATTATTAATTAAAAATGTTTAGCCCATTAAGTTTTTAATCTAATTTATTGTTTTAAATATTATATCAGTTTATTATTGAGTTTGCAATAAATCGCCAATATGAAGAGCACGTAGAAAAAGTTAGTAGTCATTTTAATAATCAGTAATTTTTTACAACTGACCTACTTGAAAAGGATTCAAATATTGTTACAAATTCGGCAACCGGTGTTGCAAAACAGGGATTTGCCTTCTGTTTATACAATTCTATTAACATCCCAAGACTAAATCGTCCGTGTAATTCACTTTGCACTTTTGCTTGCAGTGGCATTTTATTCTACCTATGTTTATGGCCTAAATGCGGCTATAAATGCTCTTACCACTGATTGCTTATGCCATCAAGTTATATTATAGAGGGAAGTTAACGAAGTGACAGTTGTCATCAAAATCAAAAATTTTTATACGCGTCATATATGTGACCCGATGGTCTTTAAAATAATAAACTAGAACACGTACAGAATTTCCAATATTTCGTACAGATAATTTTTTACGTTGCTTGTACGTGAAAATGCTGATTGTTCCTGATATAATGATGACAATAAGGCAAATGTTCATTCGATATATATTCAGACAACCGAAAATTTTTTTGCTATGTTTCACAAAACCATTTTGTTAGTATTCTAGAGAGATATTATTTTGCTTTTATTCACTACACCATTTTAAACTGAAATATATCACATTCAAATTTTTTTGTCATAGTACAAAGATTATTTTAATAAAGTTCGCTTTATTCGTTTTGTATAAAACACGATGCGTAAAAAAATTTGGCATTGTTTAAATAACCTTTGCTTTTTTAGTTGACCCTTGCCGGGGATAACAAGTTCGACGACTCGGTTCTGCGCCAATTATGGGTTAAATGTCTCCCCGCGAATACCAACGCAATCATTTCAATCCAGCATTCTGATACACATTTGGAAAAACTCGCTGAGATTGCCGACAAAATTCACGAGTATTTTTCCCAGGTACCAGGTCAGGGGAATGTCTTCTCTGGCGCCACAGCCAACTCCTACTCTCTGGGCATTAACAAATTAGAAGAACGACTAAACAAGCTGTCATTAAAATTCGATGAATTTGCTAAAGGTAACCCGAGCAGCTCCTCCAGGCA